GGGAGAGAGAGGAGAGGAGGAGAGAGGAGAGAGAGAGAGAGAGAGAGAGAGAGAGGGCTAATCCGATCACCACTGAGGCTGAAACAAAGGTGTTGGCAAATAGGCGAATGCATCAGTTCAATGGAATCGTTAGGTCAGCTTCGAGTGGGAATGGCCGGTGCTGAGAACAGCATACACGCTAAACTTGCGGTGCCCCAGGCAATCTCCATTGAGCCTCGACTAATGAAGTCACGTCAGATTTAGCCTCTCTTGTCGAAGTTCCTGGACATTCTCGTCAGCGGCATTCTGACGAGAAGACACGGGTGGGACGCTGTTGAGAGTAAACGATAACCAATCATCGATCGTCGTTCGTCAAATTTTGCACGCACCATTGTCCTCCTTACAACGCGCTTATTGTGCTCTTCACACGAGTGACTGGTTCTGCTTAGGCGGGGAACGCCATATTCACTGTTTTCTCACAGCTCACACAAATGAGCAGGGCACGTCACACGCCACTGAATTTGCCGACACACTGCGGTCGGCCGGCCTGGACGGAACGGCCCCAGGTCCGCCTTACGTGGGGCTGGACGGAGCGGCCCTGACCCAGGCCCGCCCCACGTGGGGCTGGATGGAGCGGCCCTGATCCAGGTCCGCCCCACGTGGGGCTGGATAGAGGAACCCTGATTTGGATTCACCCAACGCGGGGCTGGGCGGAACGACTCTGACCCAAGTCCACCCCACGTTGAGGTCGGGCGACGACCGGGGGTGCACGAGTCGTTTCGCACCCATGCACGGTGCGTATCTCTTGACGCCCTGCAGCACTCGCAAGAGACGTTTTGGAATTTTGGTGGTACTATCAGATAAGGTTAGGACAGGACAGAGTTGGTACGCTAAAGGGTGTTGCTCGGAATGGTGTTGTTGGGTGCTAAGGGTGTTGGGTTTTGCTCATAAGGGGTGTCGCTCGAAAAAATGTGCACGCAGCACACCCGTGTGTTGCTCAAGTGCCTCCCGAGACATACCTCATGTACGGCGCTGTTAGGAGGCTTCATTTCTATGTTACAAGGTTAGATGTCGTTTTCCGGCAGGCTAGGTGTTGCATATTCGCAGAGTTATATCGCTAGTGAGCTATCGCGGTGAGTGGCGCAGAAGTAATCGTACCCACTCTTCTCTGTGCCGTCCAGCTTGACAATACCTTGAAAGCCGAGCAACATATTTGTCCGACGCCACTTGGAGTAATGCAGTATTTCTTTGGTACTTGAAGTATTGCAGGGAAGCACGACCTTCAGGTTTGATTTTAATCCCAACCCATGGGCACATTGGTCTCTAATTGAGTGTTTCGTTATCTCTGAGGCTCTGGAGGCCTAACAATCCTTTCTGCCTCCAGGGCCCTCGCATTCATTGGACCCCAGGACATTCGGTGTCCCCTACTGCCGAAGACCCTCCTCGGCGAAGATTGAGCATTTTTGACCCTCAAGGGCATATGTGCGCCGTTGTGATTGGATCTGTAAGCGGCGGGGGGGGAGGGGGTTGAGAATAGCCTATAGTGCTCCGCCCTCATTTGGATACGCCACTGCACATGCACAACGCTCAAGCATTTTCTTTGATCCTGCAAACTCCATTCTAACGCACAGAGAGGAGTTTGCTGCCGCTGACGCACATAACCACGAAAGCTAATTAATCAGAGTGGACGCGAAGTGCCTCGTCAAATGTGTTTCATTCACGACAGGTCCGATTCGTACCTGTTGTACCTAGAAGGACCTAATCCAGTCCTCACTTGGACATCTTAACTCACCCACTTGACCTCAAGCGATCTTGTTGACTCTGCTTTGTACCTATCCCAGGTGCACTCCGAGAACAAAACTGAGGGGATGACACAGCCTGGAGCGAAGGAATTTGTCCAGAAGCTGGGACTTAGAGGCACTTTGAGCCGTTTCTTTCCATGCAGTACCGTAAGCCAAGCGCTACATTTTTAATGTACTGGGGGCTCGAGGCCCCAACCCCCCCCCCTTAACATAATAGTTCCCGCGCCTTTGGATACAGCTTAAATATTAACATGATGTAATAATAAAGTGTATTATATACTGTATATATTCTATAACAATATGATAATTAATCCATCATAATATGGAGTACATTACACACTATATAGTATTAATATTGACCTAAAGTGACTCTATCCGGGTCATCGCATATGCCCGCAAACTTCCGCCGGCCGAACTCTGCCATCAGCGGGAGTGTGCACATCCGTGTGTCAGATGACCATATCCGACCTCCGCAAGGTGAACACGTGGCTCCATCCGGCCACCGCGTGGAGCATGCATGAACTCGGATGGTCGACTCAGAGCGGGCAAATGACACGAACCGGTGCTCGTAGTGAGGAGCTCCTGTCGCGAGCGATGCCGCCGCGGAGCCGGTATGGGGCCGCCAACCCCTGGTTAGTCTGAAATTTCAGGGAATTGCGCTTGCCCAGAAGTTGATGTAACTCCAATTTTGTCCAAAGGAGCAGACCATGCTGATTCAAGATGTGTTTTTCAACCCCAATGCATCCCGAACGCCTGGAATGTTGTCAATTGTCTGTGGACTATCGTCATGTCTATTGATACGTAGACGTTTTTTGGTAGTCTCAATCTTTTTGATATAACGCTCATGACGCGCATGGAAATAATGGACCTGCAGTTTGAGCAAATAATGGGCACCTGGAAATCATCATGCCCATCATCAGCTCCACCCAGTACCAGCTGCACACAGCACCAGCTCCACCAGCCGCCAGCTCCACTCAGCAACGGATTCATCCAACCTCAGGTTCGTTCAGCACCACTCCTCTCGGGACGAACTCCACGAAGTGCCAACCCCTTCCAGCACCTGCCGCTCATCTTGGCACCAAGCACGCCCAGAACCGGCCCCACCCAGCACCAGCTCGTCCATCGCCATCGCGGCTTCAGGGAGAGGGAGACCGTTAT